CAGCTCGCCCCGGGCACGTTCCGCCAGCCGCCATCCCCGGTCCCCAGCCTAGCTCCGTCCCCAAGCCCCGCGGTGGGGACGGGCACCGGGGCAGCCGGCGCGCTGCAGACAGTCCCGCTGAATAATGCAAGGATCTGAATCAATATTTCAGCTCATTTTCAAAACTGGTGACACAAAACTGTCTCCAAACTCTTTCTTCCCAGCTCAGCACTGTCTCGCTGCACCTCGCAAGTTATTTTTAATGGGGAATCTGCGTGAGACCAGATTTTGTGACATCCCCCTGCCTTTAATCACAGGCTGGATCCAGCCAGCGTGACGACAAGCGCTCGGCATCCCGGGCAGGCGGGGAGAAACGCAGCTGGGGAAATGGCTGTGCCTCGGGAGGGTCCAGCCCCAGGGAGTGGGAGAGTGCTCAGCACCCAGCAGGATGGGGCTTTCGGGGCAGAGCCGGTCCATGAGCGGTGATGGGTACGGTGCTGGCGTTCGGGGCGAGACTGGCCGCACCCTGCGCGTTTGCTTCCCCCAGCCCCAGACAGCGCGTTTTTCGAGAACCATCATTTGAATCAACTGGTTCTTCCTGCCCGGCACAACCCGCCCGAGCGGCACCGCGGCACGGCCAGAGCTGCGCGCACCCCGCCGTGCCCGCGCGGGGCAGGCAGGGAGGGCAGGCAGCCAGCATCCCGCTGCCGCTCCTGCCCTGGTGGGATCTGCCCGGGTGCTGGGTGCTGCAGACACACGGGGGCTGGGGTCCCCCTGCTCCCAGTCCTCCCAGTCTGAGTCCCCACAGGGTGCGGAGCCCAGCGCTGGAGCTGATTTGCCCATCGGCTGGGGGCTGGCAGGGGCAGGCAGGGCAGAGCGGGCGCCTCGGGAGCTCACCGCCCTCATGCACGCCTCCGCCAGCGAGATGAAAGCTGGGCCCCGGGGTTCCCTTGGGGCGGCAGCCGGGAACAGCCCGGCCAGGGCTCGGCGGGGGCCCCTCGGCATGGCCCCGAATCCCCGTTTGCTCTGGCAGCCGCAGATCAAACCCCTGACAGCCGTTTGTCCCAGGTGAAGATGCAAATCCCGGCTTCGGTGCCCAGGGCCGCCACCTTGAACGAAGCTCCTCCATCCTCCCTCCCTCCTCGGCGGCCCCGCAGCGGGGTCCCCACCAGCCCCATCAACCGGCGCCTGGAGAAGGAGCCATCAGCCATGCTGGGTCCATCCCTGTCTTTGTTTCTCCTTCCCGTCCCCGTCCCTTCCCCGGGGGTGTGACAGCAGCCGGCGGGCACCGCGGCGGCGCTGCAGGCGAGGGGACATGTGGCGCAGGGCCCCTTCCACGACGCAGCAGCGCAGGGACCCCGGGGCGTCCCAGCGACCACAGCGACGGGGCTGCCGATGGGCACCACCACGGCGACGGAGCAGCCCCGGCTCCATCAGCCGGCTGGGAATCACAAACCTCCCAGGGCAAATTTCTCCCCGGAGTCTGGCCAAGGGCATTGTTCCACCAAGGAGCCATTTAGTCCTTAATTAAGTGCTTTAATGTCACCCAACCCGAGCGTTGGAGGTGCCCAGTCATCCCTTAACCCCAGCGTGCCGAGGGTATGAACCAACCTGCGGCGAGCCCTGCCCAGACAGGACAAAGCCACCACAGAGCCGAACCGCCAGCCCGGGCCTTGGCCACCAAAGGCCACATCCATCCCCCCCTCCCCATCCCATCCATCCCCAGGCTCCCTGCGGAGCAGCGGGGGACAGGGACAGCCCTGAGACCGTCTCAACCACGGCGGGGGGAGCCCCATCTCCCGGTCCCCGGGGGGACCCGCCACACAACAGGGCGCCGCCTTACCTGCGACCCTGACGACAGCCCTCTCGGCCGGGTCCAGCACCGAGTCCTGGCTCTTCCGCTTCCTCTGCTCGTGGAGGGGCAAATTCCAGGGCAAGGTGTCCCCGGGCGGGCAGGGGGAGAGGCTGCCCGAGCGCTCGCTGCGGTAGGAGCGCTCGCTCCGGCACGACCGTTCGCTCCGGCATGACCGCTCGCTGAGGGTCTCCTCGTCGGAGGACGACATGGCCCGCGGCGTGGGCAGGAGGGCAGGCAGGACGTCCCTGCGGGCAGCAGCCTGCAGAAGGAGCAAACGGCGCGTGACGCCGGGCTGCCGGCCGCGGCTCCCTCCCCGCCATGGGTGCTGGGGGTGATGGAGAAGGGACCGTCCCACCACGGACGTCTCTGCCCTCGCGCCTGTGCCCAAGCACCCCCTTGGGCAGGGAAATCGGCCCTCCCAGAGCTCCTAAACGCTGCCTCAGTTTCCCCCTTGCTGGTCTGACAGCTGGGGCTCCCGGGGACGGGGACGGTGGCACGGCCACCCCTACCAGCAAAGCCCACGCCGCCGGCCCCAGTTTACTCCCACAAAGCAAACCTTTGGGGTTTGATTTCTTTGTGCTCAGCACAAGAAGCAGCCATCAGATCGGCACTGCTCTTTGTACCTGCGGTTTTTTTCCCCTCTCAGAGGGGGAACAGCTTTAAAAATCCTATTAACCATGGTAGGGGAAAATGGTAGGGCTTTCTGGAGCAGGCAGGGAGCGAGCTGTGCCGCGTACACATGCTGGGCAAATAAGCACCTTGCATGAGACATATTTAAAATAATTCTCATTGTGTCCTCTAGCTCGACCAGGAAAAATGCACAAGAGATGACTGAGGCTCCTACAACCGATGCGCCGCGGCAGAGGAGCCGCCTCCATCGCGCGGAGCCTTTCCTTATTATCATCATTTAATCAGCAAAACAGGAACAAAGAGACCCAAAAAAACATTGAAAGAAAGAGAGAAAGGATTCCATGAGTCATTCACCCCCCATGGAAAAGCTGCAAAAAAATGAACCGCGGCCCAGAGCCGCGTCTCCTCCGGCAGCCCCGACGCCTGCACCGGGGGGCTGGGGGG